TTTTTTTCTTCTTTTTTCTATTCCCTCGCTCTAGTTATGTAGACGGTCACAAATTGTAGCAAAAAATGGCGCATACTATTGTGGAATGTGTGCCGCAAACCATTCCGAGCGAGAAGCGAAAGATAAAGTTTCCTTTGTTCATCAATAAAATCGTTTTTTTTCCTCGCTCTTCTCTTTCTCTCTCTCTCTCTCTCTCCTTGTTTCTTCTATTCTTACATGTTACTGCCATTGCCTTCATCTTCATCATTACTTTGCTGGCAAGCAAGCAATGAAAAAGGGTACAACAGAACATGTAGACTATTTCCCGTGTGGTTTTTAGGATCACTTTTGTTTCTATTTCCATTCGTTTTTTCTTCTTTTTTTCTCTGTCTTCTGTCTTTGCTTTTGTTGATTGGCGGCAGTTCAACCCGATGAATGGCTATCATAAAATATTGAACAATGCATGTGTATTATAGGTTTTATGGTCCTATCATCAATTGGAAGGTCATATTAGCAGTAGTTCAAATCAACAATGTTGCATTATTGATCTCGACTAACAAACATATCGACATAGAACGAATTATTTTGTTAGAATTTGAAGAAGCAAAGAAAAAAGAAAAGGCCATAAGAAAAAAAAAACTAATGAAATTAAGTCTCACGATAATAACGACATTCTATTGCTTATTAAGTTGAATTCAATAGAGAGTATCTAACATCGTTGTCATTATCATGCACAAACCAATTAATGTTAAAAAGTTCAGAATAAATATATCAAAAAAAATGATATATTTTTATTACTTTAGTGATTTTGCAAATTTTGTCACGTAAATCATGTCAATATCTTATAGAAATAAAAAATAAATATTGCTTACTAATGCATCATTGAATATAAGAAGATTTTTATTTCGGTTGACTGACAATTATAAAAATAAGAATAGAATTAAGAGTACATTATAAATGAGTTCAACATGGAGAAAGAAAAAAATTTTCATCTTTTATTTCTAATAAAGATGAAATAAAAATACTTATGTTTGTTCTTGATGCAGCCGATAAATCAACAACTTTTTTTTTCTATAACCAATTTCGGTAAACTAGAAGCAAAAATTTCGATGATTGATTTTGTTGTTTTATTTAAACTATGTCATTCAAAAATGTCACACATGAACAACATGGATTCTTGATAGATGGATTAAATATAGAGTTTTACGATGTCATGACGTGTTATGAAAATACGTCAGAATTTTCTATCTGTTATTAATTAACATGATCAGAATACATAAGATGATGTAAATCAAGGCTTATATAAAATAATAAATAAAGATAAATTAAAAGAAATAAACCTATTTTTATAGACATTCATAAAAGAAAAAGATTTACCTAATGTAGTAATCCTTTCAATACGACAGACGTTTTTCATCTCAGAACATTCCAGATTTATTGATGCGTACTGTTTATCATTGATATAACTGGCATTGCTATACATGATTTAGTACGAATAACAGACATATACATCTTACCAGACTTTAAAAGATTAATAATGCTGATTAGAAATGAAAACTAACATATTTTAACTAATTATTTTACTACGAAAAAAAAGGAATTACGTTCTGAAACATTTTGCTCATTGATATTTTCAAAGAAAAATTTCATTTATAAAAATTAAAATAAAATGAATATAAAATGATAGGTACAAGCAATATCAATAGTTTAAAATTAAGATATTAATAAAGATTTTGAATGGTTAACAAAAACAATTAAAAAAATAAGAAACAAAACGTTAATCTTAAATAATGAATTATTGAAATAAGATATCATGAAAGATAATCTTTTATTCATATGATAGACAAGTCATTTAAAATCTTTATTTAACATTTGATTTTCTTTTTTTTTTCGTTTAAAAATAAGCTTTCGCCGTTCTAAAATATAGAAAATCCAAACAGTTAACTTCAATTCATTCAATATTCAAACCTTGGATAATATTGATGCATGTGTTGAATACCATGTTGAGGTGTAAATCGTGCATGAATTTCACCTAAATCTTGTTCATTTGTATCTTCTATAGTTTGTGGTACGAATACTTCCATTTTCTATTGAAAAAAAAAGAGCTAAAAAGAACAACAGATCAATATGTATGTATATACTTGTGTTTCATAACTTTTCGATTGACGATTATCAATTTGTACTGGTATTTGTCGAATACCATTGGATTTATTATTTAAATAATTTTTAATTTGTGTGCGTTGTTGGTAACGACGCCATAAAAGACATAAAACAATAATAGCAATAATCGATAGAAAAAATATAACAATTCCTAAGACAAGTAATGCAATCCAAGGTTCATCAATACGTTTGGAGGGAGAAGATCTACTATTATACATTAGTTCTATTATGAATCTAAAAAAAAAAGAGAGATATTGCCTTTGATTTATAATAAATTATGTAACTCATATTTTTTTCTATTCTAATTGAATAACGATAGACGGATGAATCAGGAAAAATTTTGATGCGTCTATACATATATTGTTTTATTCTTCATGCATAATTCAATCATCAACAGTGAATGACATACAAAATTTGGTTAATCCCCATTTGGTTTGTATATATCAACGTATGTAGGCATACAAAGATACAAGAATAAGGTAAATAGACTTACAAATTGTGTGACGAAATATACTGATCTATTCTTTTTTTTTCCCTTCTGTTCTCCTCCTTAGTCTTTACATACAGTTAATCAGCTTTTCACTTATTATATTGATTTGAAAGTACAAAAAAAAAGAATTTTGACATTTTAGAAATAAATCTGCAATTTTATTTGTTTGCTGTCCTTGGCATTAGACATTTCTTTCGTTTGTTGAAATCTATTTCATTTCAACAATTAATTTTTCTTACGATACTTTATATCTTATAACATTGTTTTATACAATTTAATTATAACATGTACAGGTCGTTCCGAATCTATTAAACTACAAATTCATTAATGATAGTACAAGCCAAAATTGTAATTATAGTTTATTTTTCACTTTAATAACGAATAAATTTAATTTTATAATAATTATTATGCATTAGAGAAATGATTCGGAAAATTTGAGAAATAAATTATGTTCATAGTTCAGATATTTCATTTAAAAATACAATAAATATAAAAAATTGTTTACGTAAGAGCAAAGTTAGCTAGATATTTGATAATGAGATGCAACTTGAAATGATGCTAGATTTCTGAAACTTACTTTTGAATTTATGAGATCCATTCAAATGTTGACACTTACCTATTGATAATATATTATACATCGTTGGTGATCTCTTATCTTCATATTTTTAATAAATGGTCGCACAAATACTGCCAGTTATAATAAAACTCTTTAAAATCTTGACAAAAAAAAACAATTTGGAGAAGTTCCTACTTCTTAGTTTTTCGTGATAATTTCTACATTATTTATTTATTGTTATAAAATTAAACGCACTTTATTTAAATGAAAAATTAACTACATATGTCGCATGCTTGTTTGTACTACCGCCGATATAGCGCACATTGTACTGAACGATCTATCGACAATTTTTGTATGTATCTCTACTCCTTTCATAGCAACGAAGAGGATAGAGAAGACCAATGGTTATTAGGTACGTCTCTTTAACAACTGATAGCAACAGACGTAAGGCTTCTTTGCTAGAGTTTCTGGGCAATGAAGAAAAGCGCTGGACGACATTAACCACAAGATTTAGACTAGTCTCGAATATTTCAAAGCGTTCTTCGAAACATGAATCGTTGGAATATGTTTATGAATGTTCTCAATAGTGCAGTTTTTTCTTAATTTGGTGCAGATAAATATTTATAATCAAGATGTCAATGATGATAGGCAGTGATGCATTGATATGCCACGTTCGTTCTACGATCAGCATAAAATTTGTAACCTGATCAGGTTATAACTTTGGGAAATGATCAATATCAGTGGTTCTGAGATTATTAAGATATGTCACAGTGCGCTGAGACGTGCTTTAGATACAATGAATATACACAGTTGGCTTATTTACTAGTAGAATTAATCGTTAGAATAATAATCAATATGGTTAAACTAAGAGAAACGGAATACGAAAATAAAAAGCAACGAGCGAATAGCTTTAAGGTGAATCAAAATAGAGCGTTAGTAAAACTAATCTGTTTGAAATGAAGAAATAACTAAAGAAGGAATATATGCAACTGTTAATAATCGATTGAAGTGATATTGTGATTATAAATAGAACTCAGCAAGACTATAACAAGTCTGAATGAAAATATCTCCATAGGTCTTCTTTATAGAGTTACGATCATTTTATCGAATTTTCCTTTAAATTTTTCGCTATAAATAGATCTCTTGATCTTGAATATATCATGAAAGTTTCAGGTAAGACGGATACTTTCTTCTCGACCAATTGAATATACAAACACAGCAATCATATGCCATAAAGAAAATCATAGAGGCAACTTTTCGTTAATATTAAGTGCGTCGAGAAGCAACTATCCATTTGGGCTACAACTTTCAGGATATACTCAGAATCAAAAGATCTATTTATAGACAAAAGTTCCCAAGAAAACTCTTTCTCTTTAATTTTTTTTATGAATACTTTGCCATAATTTGAAAATCCAATAAAATAGTCGTAATTCTATCAGGAAAGTCTATTAACAATCGGATATGTTTTATTGTAAGACAGATCGTTTTCATAGTGATTGATTAGTTTAGGCAAACAACAATAATCTGGTAGAGATTTTTCACTTAATTTATTTTGTATTAGTCGAATGAAATTAAAGAACATATGTGAATCCTACATGTTAGCTTCACATGAGTTGCTATGATTAGTGTTTTTAAAACGTCACACGCTCTGAATACCATGGTTTGTAATTTTTTTATATTTATTTTTGAAAAAAAAGCAGTCAATAAAGAAACAAACTACATACAAAACAAAAAGAATATAGATCCATCTAAATTGAAATTTGAAAAATAAATAGATGAAGTTATTATGAAAATAGAATGTCTTTGTTATATCTTTTATTTATATTCTGTACCAACAGTTGACGAGTTTTTCGATGGCATAGTTCCCATATTAGCCAATAAAACTTTTAATTCACCAATAGCTTTTCCAGGATTTAAACCCTAAAATAGAAAACAAAAACAAATGATTAAATTGTCTTTTGTTGATTATCATTTTCGTTCTTTTACCTTTGGACAAGCTTCCGTACAATTCATAATTGTATGACAACGATACAATGTAAATGGATCACGAAATTGTTCTAATCGTTCTTTTGTATATTCATCACGTGAATCAACAATCCATCTGAAATTCAAATGTTTTCTTTAATAAAAAAAAACAATGAAATATATTTACACATACTTATAAGCTTGCATAAGAACAGCTGGTCCAAGATATTCATCAGCATTCCACCAATAACTTGGACATGATGTTGAACAACAGGCACAAAGAATACATTCATACATACCATCCTATTAAAAACAAATTGAATTAAAAACAAAAAAAACCGTTCGTTGACATGTATACAAACCAATTTTTTACGATCTTCAACACTTTGAAATAATTGTTTATCACCAATAGATGTAGGCAAGGGGGAAAAAGCGGATCCTCGGATCCTCGGATCCTTTGGATCCTCTGGATCCTTTTGGATCCTTTTGGATCCTCTTGGATTCTTTGAGATCCTTTTGGATCCTAGGATCTCAAAGGATCCAAAAGGATCCAAACTGGGATCCAAAAGGATCCGGAGGATCCAAGAGGATCCAAAAGGATCCAAAAGGATCCAGAGGATCCAAGGATCCGAGGATCCGCTTTTTCCCCCTTGGATGTAGGTGTTTTACGTTATAAATAAGGTTCAATCATTTTATATTGCATATAAAAATTAGTAAAATCCTAAAAGAATAAATAAATAAAAGAATACAATACAAAAAAAAAATTATTTTAACATACAGGAACAAGATCCTTAATAACATACATATGTGGAAGTGGATGAATTTTTAATGGCTTATTGGAATCATCGATCTTACTAGAACATATCAAAGAAAATAACACAACAACAAAATTGATGTTAAGAATAAGAATTTATTCGAACCAAATGCAAGCAAGTGTATTACGACCATCAATATTCATTGAGCAACTTCCACAAATACCTTCACGACATGAACGACGAAAAGCTAATGTTGGATCAAGTTCATTTTTTATTTTAATAAGAGCATCAGGCACCATAGGACCACAACTATTAAAGTATAATAAATCATTAAAAGAAAACATCCAATATTAATAAAATACATACTCATTTAAATCTATTTTATAATCTTGTAAATATGGTTTTTTATTTGGTTCTTCAGGATTCTATTAAAATAAGAAATTAAAGTATTCAACACACAGCAAGAGAAAGTACAAATTACTCAACGATAAATCGAAACAGTTTTTATTCGAGATTGTGACTCACGTTTTAAATGTTTCATATCTGGCTTTTTTGTATCTGATGCATTTGTTTTTGTTGCTGCTGCAGTGGTAGTATTTCGAACCTAGATTAACATACTAATAATAATATAAATATTCAGAACACATAAATAAATATGAACATGCCTGTGCAATAAAAAATCGACAGGTACCACCAGTTACTGTTATTTTAGTAAGTGCACGAAGCATGTATGTAAAATAGATTTGAGAATGTTTCTTTTCTTGCAATTACTTTAATAAGGCTACAAGCAAGTCAATTGATGTATCTACTAGCCGATGTGAATGATTCATTGCATAATTTTTATAACGAATCGAATGACATACTTGTGCACGTTGCTTAATCACAGAATCACTTTAAAAGATTTTTTTCAAAAGAGAATTTATGCACAGACTATAATATTGTTATATTCTATTTTTGTCTTTATCATTCTTTTTCATATTATTAGGATCATTGAGTAGCGTCATCTAGTAACTTGTCTGAAAATGTCTAGCTAAACATTATGTAGAAATATTGTTAAGATCTAGCTGATCCTGAAAATATATAAATCTTGATCAATGGCTTAGTTATAATAAAAATGTCACATAATGTATTTAGAAAGAAATAACCATTGAATGAAAAGCGTATTCCATCAATCCATCCATTAGTCAGTAGATATCATGCGGATAACAATCTATCAAAGATACTATATAAAAAGACGAAACGTCGTTTATGTATCATGCTTTTATTCTATTACACTAACTTCAATTCCAACAATCTGTAAAGAAAGAACAACATATTTTTGACTACACTATAGATATATTTGTCAACCGCAAAAAAGCTTTACGGCTAAAATGAAAAGCATAGAAAATTTACTTCGATTATTTCACAGTGCAAAAATGAGTAAAATTAGAGAACAATCAATTCATGACTGTTGTCGATTCAAGTCTATGCTTCACATGAAACAATATCATTTTTGGTTTTGTTTAATACAGACGATATAAATATTAGGAGCATAATCAAGTATTTCTTTAGTTACCTTAAATAATAATAGTACTCGAATAAAAAGAGGAAATTGTGCATTTTTAGAAAATGCACGAAGGCCAAATTAGAAAACATGTTTGACCAATCTAATAAATTCATTATCATTAAGGCAATGCTTCAATTACCGAAAAAATATTTCTAGCTAGCATTCTATGATATCTTTTTAATCATATTTTATAAGTCTTGCTTACAGTATCTGCAATGGTACTATTGCTCATGTGAAATTCATCTCAAAATCGTCAACAAAAAAAAATCAGATGAATATCGATTTTAATTGGATTAAAAGAACGTCATTTGTACCAATTTTCAATCAAACTGATAAATATTTGTTTCTCTTCCAAGGATCTACAAGAAATGAAACCTATTCTGGCTTAATTTTTTTTTTTTGACAGCTATGAACAATCTTTATCCCTTCACCCTTCTTACTTCCTTTATCCTGAAGTCACTAAAGACAGTATGGAAAGTCAAGAAATAATGATTGTTCATAGCTGTCAAGGAAAAATTGTATCAGAATAGCTTTAATTTCACGGGGCCTATGTATTGTTGAGAGGTATCGCAAAGCGATAGAGTTCCATGTAACTCTGAAATTGAATAAATTTTATGGATTAGAATAACAATTATAGTTGACTAGAGTGATAGATGTTCATCTGCATTGTATTCAAGAATAGTGATGACGAGTACTTTCCAATTTCTTCATTGTTGTGGGTTATTTCGCAGTCATTTGTGACAGTATTGCCAATATTCATAATAACACTCTTGAACTTGTAAATCTTGCACGAGTCATTGTAGAACAAATGATTTGAATAAGAATGAATGTTGATTTTTCTTCCAATAGGTTAGCTTACTATCGACAATAGTATATCTCCTACGAATTTTTTTGTTAAAGCCAAGAGCATGTGTTTTGCGTTGTAACATCTCCAATTTATATTTGTGGTATTGATGACGAGCGTACCCTTACGGTTTCACATCAATCGAGTTTTAATTAAAAACAGCGTGATGCCTTGAGGTTACCGATAAAAAAGAAAGAAAATCTAGTGATAATTTTTATTACGCATCTGTGACTTTTACCAATAGTTTTTCTCATGAATTCATTTATCTGTAACGCCTACTTTCTTTTACCAACAGAATTCTTTGTGTCCAGCATTTCTATAAGTAATAATACATTCTTACCATCCTTATCTATTTCATTTCAACGTTATTTACTATGTATTGCACTTAATACTATATGTGGCCTAGTTTCAAACAGTATTTTTTAAAAGTAAGTCAATTCAAATTTAACTCATTAGATTTTATTAGGATTTTATTCTTTTAGACTTCTAGTCTTGATGTGACCCTTTAATAAATAGATTTTAACTTTTATTATGAAAGATAAAAATGTTTTCATTGTGTTAAATAATAGTTATTAATGATGTTTTATCTATATTTCTTCATATAATGAAATACTTCTGTTTTATTCGAATACAGTTCGATACTTTTACACATATTCGATGCGCAAAAAAGAATATTTTTCTTTATCTGTCATTAAGAGATATGCGCTAGCTGTTTGTCACTATTTGAATCTCACAGGACGTTTACATAGATAAAAACACACCAATGTGTACTCACTCACCATTGCATGCATATTCATTGGCTCTTTATCGTGTTTTCTCTCTCGATTTTTACCGTTCTGTATTTTTTTTTTAATAATATGGACGATAACCTCGACATTCAAAGAAAAAACAAATCTACACGTGCGTTCGCATTTCTTTATAAAGACAAATAATAAATACCTGAAACACAAAAGAATAGACAAACGAAAGTTTTTCTACAGGAATCATTACGAAACCGAAGTGAATATGTCATCATCAACCGAAGAAACTCCTCTAATTGAAATCTCAAATGATAATCCTCTTGAACGACCACAGTCACCGTTATGGCGATTATTTCATGGAACACATTACATGATTGGTGGTCTTACTTTTATTACTGGATCATGTATGTATTTTCCTAGTGTTTATAATAAATACTCATCTGCATTCATTATTGGTGGATGGCTTTTTACAATTGGTTCATTCTTCTTTTTACTTGCTGATTTACAAGAATGGTGGTATTATCGAGTTGGTTGTTTTTGTGATCGTAAATATCAATTAGCATTAGAAAGTCATGATGCTATTCTATTTCGTAATCCACGAAATACATTTATTGGTCGATATGAACGAGCAGAAGTAGGAATAAATTTTTTTATGTCTGCTTGTGGTTCTGCATTTTATCTAGCTGGATCTATATTATTTATTCCAGTGTTCAGCAAAGAATTAATTTTAGGTGAATGGTTTTTTATTATTGGCTCAGCATTCATTTATTCATCTCAAGCTTGGAAAGTATATCGTTCAGCTTGTACAAATATTCATGATAGACATGATCGTCGATTTCGTTTATCAAATTTATTAAATGATATTCCAGCATTAGGTGTCGATGGTTTTGCTGGTATTGGTGGTGTTTTTTATTTTATTGGTACCATCTTATTTCTTCCACCTTTCAACAAGACTTATTCGGATGCTGTTCGTGTTGCAATTCTATTTGTATGTGGTGGTACAAGTTTTACATTATCTGGCTTGTTTCTTCAGTATCGTCATCATTTTACTCATCATGATTAACATTCTCAAGGTAGCATTATAGTTTTAGTTTTTAGGTCCATACAGAGAACTAAGTAAAGCGTCAGTAAAACAAAAAAAAACTATCAAATAAAGATTGATATACAGAAAAATATAATCCAACCAACAAACGCACACGTGATCGGATGTATTGTCATTTTTTTCTTTTTTTGGTTTTGAATAAAAGAATAAAACAGGAAAAAAAAGAAATGATTAGTGAGAAGTGTGATAACAACAAAAACAGACGCAACAAATTACTACGGTGGTATTTTCAACTATTCCTCTCACAAGTAATCAATCAAAAATTCACATTTACGTGCTAACTGTTTGAATAAAAAAAAACAAAATGAAAGAACGAAAAAAAAACTGAGATAAAACTGTTTATCACAAAAAAAGTATACTATCAGAAAGGATTTAAATCAAACGAAAAAAAAAATAATGCTTTCAAGATTATCATGTATAAAAACAATAAGACTAGATTTGTTAATTAATTTTGAGGGTGTAAAGAACTGAAAATTCTGCAGAAAGAATCTACTTTCGTCTTTCTGGCAGAACTTGAATAGCCAATGCTGAAATCATCGACTCTCTATAATGTTTTGTCTGAGAGAGCATCTTCGTATTAATGTATAGTAGGAGCAGAGCTAAAAATGCTAAATTTGCATTTCTGCCACGATTAGCCATCAGACTAAAATTTTTTTTAGAAAATTCGACATTTTTCGAAAGAGTAGTTTCCTGCCATCTCTTGCCTAATCAGTGATCTTGAGAGAGCCAAACAAAAAGTTATTTGTTACATTCACTTTTTTTTATTACTATCATTCGATGATATTGCTGTTAAAAATAAAATTTTTTGTTATCCATCATATTCAAGTGTAGTTTTTGATTCAACTTCATTATTGATTGAAAGATAAAATGAATTAAATGTTGAATATTGGTCATTCTGAGAAGTACAAAAAAAGGCACATACAGGATGTCCCAAAAGTCCCTTCCACTGGAATTTTTCGTATATTTTTTTTTACTTAATTGGGTTACTTCTTATTTGCGATCATATATCAAATAAAATTTTAAAATATTATTAAAACTTTAAACCTCAGTCAACCTTAAAGTTAAGAAATTAAACTATTTGTTTTTTCAAAACTACAAAAACTTAATTAATTTAATTTTCAAGTTTTTATTGATAAATGCTCATATTTAATAATTTTCACTTTCAAGTTCGAATCACATAAAGTTTAGGAAAATGTAGAGTCCGCTAGAATATCTAGCATTAATCTAGCTGAATGTAAAAAAGATTTATAAGTGCCGCGTGTAGTCTGTTTGAAGCTAAGTAAATGCGGTCTGAAAGTGTCACTTCTCATTTTGGAAGATTAGTGTAAGAACACTGCAGCAAAACAAAATTAGTTTCACATGTCAAGTGATTTGATTCAGAAAGCTTTATCAGTTCTGGATTAATTATGAATTTTGTTACTTCACCAAAAAGAAGATCCTATAAATGAGATGTAGTGTTAAATAAATTGTTTTAAAAAACGCCAATGAAATCTTGTCGCATTTTATACTAGGTCACTTAAATAGGTTGATCGCGTGAAATTTTTTTATAAAACCTTTTTTGGAACGTAGCAAAATCATAGATTTAGTTTAAGTACTATGAATCTTAAACTTAATCAGAAACGTTTTTAGGAAGGTGATTTACTTAATTCTCATATTGAAAAACGAACCCTAATTCAGCTCGAGCAAGGGGCGCAAAATAATGAAAGTGTTGATGAAGATCGAAGGGAGATTTTGAATTGTTTCTCTCATATTCCACAAACATGATTCAATATCCATTCAAAGTGTGAGCTCGGTGGACGCTTGTTCGAAGAGAACTCGAATATCAACATCTAAATCTTGTCCCGTTTAAATTTTTTCCACAGTTTTCGTTGTTGAATAAGTATATTTTTAGGTTCCAATTAGTTTCTTTTCAGTGGACTGTTGATCTTATGTTATTATAGAAACTGAATAGAGTTCCACTACAAAAACAGGCTTATGACATTCATATTGGTAATTCAGTCTAATGAAATCTAAATATGAGACTTAATTTCGAAGAACAAGAAGAGCCCTACGTAGTTTAGCGAACTCTGCTAATAAGCGCTGAATACATTGAAATCCTGCAAGCATATATCAAGTGAATTATATATTTTCCTAAACCAAAATATAGAAATTGCATAAAAAACAGGAGCGAACTTTACAAATTTTAATTCTTCACACAAAATGGTTGTTAAAATTCGTTTCAGTATCTTATAAATGAATATATTTCGCATAAAGGTTTCTAATTAAAGCAAAATATAATATTAATTAAATATACATGCAGTCTTTTTGTTTATCTTTATTTATAATTTCTTGAAAGTGAATATTGTTTTTCTTTTAATAAATAAATTGATATTGAAAAATGTTGAAGTAAAGTAACATATAAATCATGTGGGCAATATTTAAATATTAAACTCAATTATTAAACCAACAGATCAGTGTAATAGAATGTTTTAAATAGAATATTCGAATACTTGGACTGAGCTTAAAAACTCTTATAAGTTTGAACAATATATAAAAGCTTCCGCTCTCCTCATGGACAAGCCCGATTAAACAGTAAAAGCCCCTTACAAAAAAAAAAGAATTAAACTCTTAATTAAAATAAGCCAGTTAACAAAAGAATATGTTTTTAGAATTTCAGAATCTATCTATTTGTCTGCGAATACATTGAAATATACAAGTCTAGAATAGAGTCCTGCAACGGGGTCGGGTACCCGGCACCCGACCGGACCCGAAACTGTGGTCCGGGTACAAATTTGCCGGGTCGGTTCGGGTGCCGGGTATAAAAAAAAATGCCGGGTCGGGTGCAGAATTTGAGCATACCCGGTACCCGACCGGTAGTCGATGACATCTTAACAAGTAAAAGTATTTTACACTCTAGGATAGAGTCCTGCAACGGGGCCGGATACCCGGCACCCGATCGGACCCGGAACTATGGTCCGGGTACAAATTGTTACTTGATGAAATTAAAATAATAGTATATTTTGCCATATGAAATAAAAGTTTGAAAAGTGAATATAATTTTGACAATAACAATCAAGTGCTGACTATTTCAAGGCTGGGCCGGGTCCGGTCGGGTACCGGGTAGAGCTATCCGGGTCCGGTTCGGTTCCGGGTGGAAGATGACCGGGTCCGGTCGGATTCCGGGTTTGAAAAAAATGAGCCGGGCCGGGTCCGGGTGCGAAAAGTAGTACCCGTGCAGGACTCTAGTCTAGAATGTATATTCCTACGACAGAAGTGTTTTAAGATTGTTTTGTCTGCTATTTAAGTGAAAGTTACTGAGCACTTAGAACGATTAACGATTAACGATAAGAATATGCAACGAGAATAATCTTGGATGTTCTATTTTTGATCGATAAATCTTTCTTATTTATGCAATCTTCTATCTGATCGTGGTACTCCGTGATCAGTCGACGATGTGTAGCTAATCTCAAGATACTACTGTATCGTTGTAAATTGTTTGCTATTGATGATATCCTCATGGATTACATTCTTACTTATACCTGTGTCTCTCATTTTCTACTTAATAAGAAAAATTAAATTAATTCAACCTTTTTATTCGTATAGTCGTATTCTTATTAAATTGAATATTTTTATTATTTAATGAACACTTGGTACAAATTTGTTTCTATGTGAGGAATGTCGTTGAAGATGAAAATAAAAACAAAACGACTTAATTCTATACAAATTGAAGTTTTAAGCATGTCGTAATTCAACACCACTTATTCAATCAAAGGTTACTGTAAATGAAGAAAAAACAGTCTATAACAATGACAAAACTATTGAAATTTCAAAATTTGACAAATCGATTGTTTCTCTAATTATATCAAACAATGTCTAATACTAGACCAGATATGTTTACAGAGTAGGGAAGGTGAAGTGGAGTGAAGTCTTTATACTCTACAAATTTGACCATAAACATTTCAAGTTTCTATCTTCAAAATGAGCACGTTTTATCAGTTTTTGAATGTCATAAGTTGAATATAGACTGAAGAGGATCATATCAATTGATACACATAATTGTCATCTATAAATGTAAAATCTAATGAGAAATGATAGAAAACAAAAAAAATTACTAAAATAACAACCGCAAAATTGTATTTGTATTTCTCATACTCGTTCTTTTACCCTAATAAAGCAAAACATTAACTTGTAAGTTCTATATTCTTTGGCTTTGATGAAGACATTTATCTACTTTCTACTGCTGATTATAGTGATGCATCTAATTTGTTTACACCTTGTCTTGTCGATCACTTGACTTCATCTTCTTCAACTTCTTGTGCTTCTAAACAATTAAAGCAATTCCTACTGGAAAAAGCCGAACAATTTCACATTAAAAGAGTGATTCAACGAACGCATCGACGTCTTGAAGGGTGTGGATGTCAGTTTTGGAATACGTGTGGATTCATTCTCTGTAAGCATTATACAGATTCATATAGACAATGTTGATATTATATCTAAAATCACATCGGTATATATTGTTTTTCAAGTTGAGATTTAATTTAATTTTGCTCATGCAGGTATTATGTCCCAAATTTGAAAACATTGACCATGACAATCTATCATAATATTCTTTGCTATGAAGCATGTATATTTCTTCTCTTTTACAACGTTTGTCATATGTTCGACATTTGACATTATTGCTGTTTATTGGTTTAATAAGAAATAGACCGGGGTGTGGGTGTGGGGTGTTAACACCCACATCGACACTCACACCCCTTCTTGAATTAATAATCTAACAGTATATCATGTAATAATAGTAGAGTTAATGACTTTTCTTTTCAAACCATATTAGAAAAGATAAATATTCACTTGAGAAGATGTGATTGTCATTGACTTATTTCCATAAATGTGCATATATATTCAAGTAAACACACAGAGAGATAATAGATACCATTTTATCTGCCACAATGATCTTCCGATGCTTTTACACAGGCATGCTTTTTCTTTTGATTTGATAATGGTCAAATACGTTATCCATTTCTAAGATAACCATTGATTCCATTGAATTGACTTCATATAAATTACCCAATCTGTTACTACCTATTTCAAAAGAACTTATTGCGCAAAATAAATCATCGTTAGTTGAGACACTGGGCATAATACTATATCCGCATCTGCATCTTGCTGACGATACAGTATGTGCAGGTATGAACAATGAATATAATTATGTAATTATTGAAGTTCTTCGTTATAGTCCTTTAACATAATATGAAACCTGTGGTGTAGCTTTTAACTGTCTACGTCAACCTGATATTCTTGCTCTTCAATGGAATGTTACTTTTCCTTCTTTAACTCAGCAAGTACTTTCGTCTTCACATCTGTCTATTGATTATTCATCCTCCACATATATTCTCTCAGGTCTTCATTTAGCTGATCTGTATATTGATATAGAATATAGACCTGATTCAAATGCTAGTTATGGTCGACCACTTTGTTGTCGAGATGGAATACCAAAACCAGATGAATTAGGAGCAGGATTTCAGGCTGCTTATCGTATATGTCATCTACCACTACGGATAGCTGAAAGTATGTTAAAATATATTGTTCAAAATGAAAAACAGATTGACTTTATTTATTTTACTGGTGATATTGCTTGACATGATGAATGACAACCGACTCAAGACAAAGATCTCGAAGAAATTTCTTTTACAACTCGTTTATTAAAAAGAATACTTTCCAACAAAAAAATTTATTCATGTGTTGGTAATCATGAAGCAGCACTGTATTATCTTTTTCCAACAGATAATATATTACGACTTTATTCAAATTTAGCTTCTTGATAGATTGACCAATTTGGTCTTGATGAACAAATCAGGGACACTATTTTCAAAGGAGATTTGTATACGACCATAATGTTACCAAAAATTCGTTTGATTTCATTAAATATGAACTATTGTACTGGCAACACGGATTGGATTTTCATTAATTCAACAGATCCTCTATGTCAATTACAATTGGCAAGTTTTATATATCTTTTTTCCCTCATATTAGTAGCATTTGCTAGAAATAAAATCTTGATTTATGTTCGTCTTACAATTGATCCAATGGCTTCAATATGTGAAGAACATCAAGAAAAAGTTTATACTATTGGACATTATTCATCACGAATGTGTATGGTATCATTTAGTTGGGCTTATTATAGCATTGACAATCGTTATCAAAACACGATAACTGGCCAGTTTTGTGCTCATACCCATTTAGATGATCTTACGCTTTCTTATAATGAAATAGATTCTAAACAATCGGTAGGTTTTATCCAAACATTACTTCAGGTTATCGAATCTAGGGTATAGGTGCAGATTATGGAAACAGACTCACCCACATCCACTCACACCCATAGCCACACATTTACATTCTCGAAAAAAATTTGCATCGGGTGATGCTAGCAAATGTCGCGTTGTCTTGTCGAAAAGTGCTTGAGGACACGACATCTCCATGGGAACATACATCTCCGATTTCCTGAATATGTAACTCCTCTCTAGATATAACAATCTTATTGTAGGAAATCGATCAATTATCACTTATCGAACAAATTAAATATTGAGATGTAATGGAATATTTTGCATGCATTTAGAGAAACGATAATTTAACGAATCGAATGAACGAAAAGACTCAAATGTAATAAGAAAAATTTAAATGATAGATAGAGTTTTTTCATCGTGACAAAAAAGAAACTATTCAGTAATGGATGTTGCTATGTTTGCAGAACTGTTTTTCAATAACAACGGCATCCACACTCTGAAAAGCCGACTCTTGATATTTATCATGATTTAAGTATAGTCAAAATTGAATAAGCCGTTCAGTGAATACATAGTGATCATTATGATGATTTTCGTTTAGAAATTTTTTTTTCTAGGTAATGGTGCGATATTCAAAGGATTAATTTTTATTGATATGAAAACCAGTAAAGAAAATAGTAGATGTGTGAATGAAAAGAAGATCCAGAATCACAGCCATACCTATTTTCTTGATGAGATGGGGTTTATGATGTCATTTTAGAAAACAAACTAAGAATAAACTGTTGGTAGATGATAATGAAGACAGGAATAAAAACAAGAATGGCAACAACAATTTATATGTGCGTTTTATTTGTATTGTGATAAAAAAAAAGTAAAGACACACAAGCATGCATTTGCATACTTTTCTTTTAACGAAAATATTTACTGTACAGGTGACGATTTGTTCGTTTTTTTTGCTTCATCAACTTGCATATTTTTTAGAAGGAAAAATGTATGCCTTCAAAGTAATCTACCGCACACTAAGGCATTCAATATAAATCACATTTGATTGTGTGTATGTGATTCAGGTATTATCTTCATCTAAACCAACATCCACACTCTTATTTATAATATTTTTGTACAAGGGCAAATCCAAATACTAAGCATTTGGTCTCGAATTCCAAAGTTTTTTTCTGACTGTGCTATATCTTTAGTAAAATAGATCATCATTGAAGTCACTTTATATTACTTTATCGCTTTAAGATTTAGGTGTTTTGAGACCAAATCGAAACTGAAATACAAACCAAATCCGAATTGAATCTTAAATCTAAAGCAAATAATTGCAAATGCCAAACCTTTAGATTTGTGCACTCTTGTGTTTGATAGACACGTCTGCATGTCTAGTGACATATTTCTGCGGAGAATATTCGAAACGTGTGCATATTTCAAAACTATTTTACTTTATTTTAGTTCTTTTCTTCATTAAATACCGAGGAATACGAGTAAAAACAACTATGTTATCAATGAAATAGTGAAGCGAACCGTCTTCCAAATAACCGAAGAATGAAAGAAAGTGTGTTATTACAAACTATGCTTCATACATCTTTGCAGTATCACATTAACAAGTAGATAAATAAATGCATCATAACTTCTACAGATATATTTCATTTTTTGTAAATATATATTTCATATTATTTACGAAGAATAATGGTTTGATAACATCAATCGAATTAAATGTTCCTGAGTCTATTATTTTCAATGAAGAGGTGATCGATGAATTTATTACAAAAGAAATTCAACAAGGTTTTCCTGGTGCTGCTCTTATTATAAGTCGATACGGTAAGATATTAAAGCAAACTGTCTATGGTTACAAATTAAAATATGATGAAAATGCGAAAATAATACAACAACCACAACTATTAATATTAGACACCATGTTTGATTTGGCATCATTAACTAAAATGTATGCAACAAACTATGCGCTTATGCACCTGGTTGAGCAAGGAATGTTGAATATTGATGATCCAGTTAAAAAACATATACCTCAATATTGTGGATGTAATCCTGACAAGGAATGTCGTGAGGCAAGATTAATAAAAGATTTATTGACACATACAGCTGGATATGCTCCAAGTGTTAAGTTTTATGATCCAGAGAAAGTTTCATCGGATTTATTCTCACAAGATAAACATGAAACTGAAGATATTATCGAAACCAAACTAGGATTTCAACGATCGAGAAGTGGTGATCAATTACCCGTTTATTCTGATATTGATTACATGCTTTTGGGACTAGTTGTTGAGCATATCAGTGGCATGTCAATTGACCAATATGTAAAAATTAACATTTATCAGCCATTATGCCTCACACATACATTATTTAATCCTCTCAATAATACAAACTATCAAAAATCAAATTTTGCTGCTACTGAATTAAATGGAAATACACGTAATCATACAATAAACTTTCCTAATGTACGTACTCATGTGTTACAAGGTGAAGTCCATGATGAAAAATCATTTTATTCAATGAATGGTTTATCAGGACATGCTGGTCTATTTTCAAATTTAAATGACATGTCGATTCTAACTCAAATTATGTTAAATAATGGTACATATGGAAATGTTAAATTTTGGAGCAAAAATGTGCAAGACCTATTTCTAAAGCCATATGCATATGATCCAACATACGGATTAGGATGGCGTCTAAATCGTAACAAGTCTTTATCATGGTTCGGTCTCTATGCATCCGATGAGGCGTATGGTCATACAGGGTGGACAGGAATATGCACTGTTATTGATCCACAGTACTCAATGGCCATTACTTTATTAACTAATAAACGACATACACCATACATCAATGGAAGTTTCGACGGTGAAAAATACGAGACAGGAAAATATGGTAAAATAATGACACTAATCTATGAATCAATGTTGTTGCACAAAGATCCGTCGAGGAAACTTCGAGCATCTGCTATGAGCGATTGAATTCAGCAAAGAAGTTTCTAATTTTCTTTTCTAATGGACAAGCATTTGAGTAAGAACTTTATTGAATTCATAGCTATTTTGTCGATGCTTCTACTGTCATTATCAGAACAAATGTACACCGATTAATAAACATATGTAAGAGAGGAAAATCGAAGAAGAATTAATATCGGCGCCAAAATATAAGGCAGGTGGTTGTTTTTTGAATAACTCAAAAATCACAAAAGCTATCGACCTGACGTTTTCAGCAATAGAAAGAGAACACTCTTATACATTTTTACCTGCAAACTCAATTCCTAAAAACCTTTTGATATAGGAGGTTTGAAATATTTTCTGGAAAACAAGGATTTTGCTTAAAAGTTTCGAATAGAAACTTACCGTTTTTTTTCATAGATAGATAACTATGGGTCTTCTCTACCATTTTATATTAGAACATAGATGGTTCTGTCTTTTCTCTATCAGCTGGAGGCAATTTTTTGTCAAGCACTAGAACTTCTCGATCCTTAAGACTAGCGATGTCCGAAATACTTTGAAACACAGGTTATTGACTATGCTGAGTATTGTGGCAATGTTTATTTTATTTTTCGGATAATAGCTTCTTGATGAATGATACACGGAGATACATAGTAAGTGAAATTTCTATATATGATGCTTCTTTTATTCTTTCTTATGCGTTCTGTTTCGAAAAATTGATAATCGAAAATGCCAATTGTTAAAAGTCCTTCAAAAATTCTTGTTCTTGAGGCGTCGTTAACCAACAAAATATCAAAACGTATTCTGAATGATAGTACTCTTCACAGGGAGTAATAAAAAGTGTGTTCTTTTTCTCGTTAAGGATAAATCTAATAACTACCATCATGGTTCTAACAGATCACAAACCCTCGATTTCTGTTTTATTTCATTTCTAGCTATCACATGACACTTTGTATTCATGTTTAAAATAGATGCATGGAAACAGAACGCATAAGAAAGAATAAAAGAAGCATCATATATAGAAATTTCACTTTCTATGTATCTCCGAGTATCATTCATCAAGAAGCTACATTCCGAAAAATAAAATAAACATTGCTACAAGATTCAGCAAAGTTGATAACCTGTGTTTCAAAGCATTTTGGACATCGCTAGTCTTAAGGATCGAGAAATTCTAGTGCTTGGCAAAAACCGCCTCCAGCTGACAGAGAAAAGACAGAACCATCTATTTTCTAATACAAAATGGTAGAGGAGACCCATTAGGGGTGGTGCATTAGCATTAGTATTAGCATTAAATTAATGCTAACACCAATATTCTTGTTTTCCGTTCCTAAGAAAAAGTATTTGAATTTGTATTGATTAATGTAAGGTTAGACGCAGCCAGCAGCCCTGATTAATTCTAATACTTTTATGTTACAATTTTAA